TTAGCTCTTCAATAAGTGAACCTGCAACTAAAAATAGCAGATAAATAAATGAGCCATTAAGAGCCTAGTGAGTTTTATTCTTCCCCCCTCAGAAAGTGACTCTGTCAGTGGGGAGATGATATTCATATGGCTTCAAAATCATTAAATGCTCAAGCACATCTTCTTCCTTCAAGCATTCTTCATTTTCAAATGGTTTGTCTCAACCATTAAACAAAAGCTTTTCACAGTTTATAGTTGCTTTACACATGATGCTATGTGCTTTATTTAAGCCTGCATTTTTATTCTCTTGGCTTATGTGGCCTTTTTTGAGAAACGGGGGGACAGGGGAATAAACGGAGAGGACAGGGGTGAATCACTGGATGTTTGGTATACCAGGGACCTTCAGGTGACTTGATTTCATTGTTCACAGAGTCTGAGCGTTAGAGGGCCACTTGACCACACAGACAGTTGGATCAGGACTAGACCTTAGCCCCCCCAACCACCCAGACCAGGGCCCTGAGGGAGAGATGGATAGATGCATAGGCTGGGATTTGGTCAAGGCCAAGAATGAGAAATTACATGATTTTACCAACTTGCTGTGGAGCACTGCCTAATGGCGGCTTCAGGGTCACAGCGCCTGGCTTAAATCCTAGTTATCCACTAACTAGACAAAGTATTGACCCCTCTAAGCCTGGGCACAGGGAATAATCATTTCTGTGTTAGCCAAGGTATAGTGAGCCCTTGCTGTGTGCCAAGCACTGTTGTTAAGCACATTAGATATATTAGCCCTTAAATTGTACTTTATAAGTCCAGGGGTTAAATCCGCATTATGTGAATTAACCCAGAGAGTTCTCAATAAATGTAGTATTATTTGCTCAATAATTAAAGAATATAATATTTAAATAATTAATCATCTCTAAGTCTTTGTAAAATATATGGGAAAAACTTATTTTAAATATTAATGTAATATGATGCACTGTTTTTCAAGTTATGATGAATAACATTTAAATTTTAAGGTCACATAGTGAATGAATACTCTCATGAAAAAACGTAGCTCTCTTTAAGACATCTCTTAAGCATTGGAAGATTTAGGTTCCAATTCCACTTCTTTACTTTGCCATTCAGTACTGGGGACATGGAACCTCAAGAGCAAAGTCTTTCTAGCATTTTCCACTGAGTAATCAGGTTTATAGGCGGTTGACTTTTACTCCTAGCATAGGATGGGACAAGCCTTTTTGTAGTTTTAGTTATTATTAATTTTAAAGATAGGAACCAAAAAGCCTCCTTAAAGGAGAAGACTCAACAGATTACTCTTTCTGTGCTCATTCCCCAGAAGGAATCCAACAGATAGCTGTCAATTCCCTCGGCCACATCATGAGATAGTCTCTTTCCCAGCTTCAGGAACTGGTAGTGTGGAGTGTCAGGCCATGCTTTCTGGCACCTTCATCTCTGCCTCTCTGTGTTTAAAAAAACAAAAACAAAAACAAACAAACAAACAAACAAAAGCATGTCAAACCAGCCCACCATTTTCTGAAAGACCCGAGTGCATTGTGTCTGAACTCTGTTCTCCACCTAAGGATGATCCAGGGCAGGAATAATTCATTTGTTCTGGTAAGTGACAGTTGCTTTCTTCTGTTGACATATTTGGTTGCAACCATGATACTATGGTGCCTTGAATATATTTGAACATAGAAGAAATTGAGCTTCTGGCCAGGTAGCTCTGTGGGTTAGAGCATCATCCCAATACACCAAGGCTGAAGGATCAGTCCCCAGTCAGGACACATACAAAAAGCAACCCATGAATGGGTAGATAAGTGGGACAATAAATTGATGTTTCCCTCTCTCTCTCTCTCTCTCTCTCTCTGTCTCTCTCTCTCTCCCGCTCCTTCCTCTCTCTCTCGAAAATCAACAATTTTTTTAAAAATAGAAATCCAGTGCTTAATTTTGAGAAGTGAGCTAGAAGTGATTCCAGTTAGAGGCCTTACTAAAGCATTGTAAAACACTATTATTAACTGTTAGGTTCATTTGATTTTTAATCAGTAATCCATCCATTTTAAATCACCAATGTTCTCATGATTCTGTGAGCAGGGGCTCTGTTTTATTGTTGGGTGTTAAATTCTAAAGCTCAAGAAAAAAAAGGCTAAGAGTGGAAGCAAAATGACATAGGTCTGGTTTAAGGTAACTCAGGCAGGTGTAAAGGCGTGCTTTCCTTTGGGAAATTAAAATACTGATAATACTTGCCAGGTGGAGTAATACAATTATAATTTATATCACAGAATGCTTCTTCTTCTTAAGGAAAAATATTACCTCAGCATTACATTAATGAAAACTTTCAAATGGAAGTCCATAAGTACATGTAGTTATATTTACAAATATTAGCTGCACGTAACTCTTCAGAAACATATCCAAATTAGACCCATTTGTATGGGTTATAGAAGGCAACATGGTTAAATGGCTTCACTCATAAGCCTTGGTGTCGGGCTCTGAGCAGGTTGGGCAGAAACTCCAATGTCTCTGAGCCTCGAGGTCATTTTCAAAATGACAATTTCTGTGAAGAATCTAACCTTTACAATAATTCCTACCTTGTAGCATTACAATGAGGATTAAATAAATATGTGAACACTTTAGTTCATTTCCCAGCACATTCTAAGCATCCAAAAAAGTGTCTGTAAACTATTAACACTACAAAATGCAGAACTCAAGTTACACCTTAGATGAGAATAGTGCTAAAAAAAAAATTTATCTTCAAACATCTGAAATGCATTCAATCCACTAATTTCAGGTGAAGGCATCTAACTTTCTGTTTTCCTTTGTCGTTTGTCCCAAATCGTAACAATGAAAACCATGCATTAAGAGGATAGCCTGCTGTCTGCATGACTTATCAACTGACGGAATACCCCAATGATCCCACCGCGGGGGATTATTATCACTGTTCCCAGATATGGAAACTGAATCAGAATTTACATCAGTTGCCCAAGTTCGCCCTGCTACCAATGACCGTGTCAAGTTTTCAGCCTCGTTAGGCCACCAATGACTGTGCTCTTAAACTCTACTCTACGCCGGAAATAAAAGTGAATGGTGGCAGGGAGGTGGACTGAGGAGCTGTTTCTTACTTTAAATAAAATTAATCTAGGTCAGTGGTTCTCAATTTTTTTGAAATCAAAATGTCTTTGCCCTCTAAAAAAATATTGGTGAACCTCACAAACCTTTTATTTATAGAGGGGGTCTATCAAGTGATATTTCCATATTATATATGATAGATTAAAGGTTGAAAACACATCTGTTGATGTGTAATTATTTATTTAATTTTAAATACCAATTAAAATGCCAATTTATTGATTTACAAATAATGTAAAAGGAACAATAAATAAGCACATTACCTCTGAACACACATATTTTTATGTAAAATATCCATTTTCGGAAACAAAACATGTCTGTGAGAAGAGGGAAGGAGAGGTTCGTCCGCACCCCGCTCCGCGGTGCTGTGCCCGCTGGCGCCTGGAGAACCCCAGGCGCTCGCCGGGGAGGAGAGGGAAAAGGGCAGCAACGTCTTACTGTTACTATAAAAATCGCCTGCCCATTGGACCCCCTGAAAGACCCCCGGGACCCTCTGGAGCGCCAGCTCACACTTTAAGAACCACACACAGCTGAGGGAAAATCTGTAAATGGGCTGAGGGGTTCTATGGCCAGCGCTAATCTGCAGAAATAACCCAAGTTCATCCCTCAACTACCGGCTCACCCACAAAGCGTCTCTTTATACTAATCTGGAAAAGAATGATGAAAATCTGTCATCTCTAGGTAATAATAAACATTGAGTTGGAAAAGACGTAAAAGTAATAATATCACTTGGCTTAAACAACAGAAAAAAAATGTTGTAGAAAAAGGTGTTAGAAGTATATTTGGTTAACTCACTCTTCAGAGACAAAAATTAATGTATTTTTTATCTTTACAGAATGGCAGGCCTTTGCTGCACAAATGAAATGTAATTGAAATGTCATTCTATTTTTCTGGCATTAACCAAACTGATTAAATCTGTTATATTGCCTCAGTGAAGGTACTAATCAAATATTAGCCGACATGTACCCTATAAAAGTAAAGGGTACCGGGAGAACATTAGAAATCTTATGTAAGGTGAGAAACATTTTAAATATTTAAGTAGTGTTTAGACGTGGAAGAAATTGAATCATTTGGTTATGTGTGAGATTGCATCTTCAAATGCTTTGGCTAAGAAATATGATTTTTCTTCCTTGCTTTAATCCAAGCCCAGAAGCAAGGTATTTGGAAATCATATTTGGTTTTGTTAAATCATGTATTCAAGTGTGGGTTGCATTACCATACTTTTTCTAAATGAAAATATGATCGTTGTAATGCACTCAACTCATTGCTAATCATTTTTAAACTTAGAAGAACTGTGACCTTTTTCACAGGTATGTTAGCAAAGCTGAAGAACTGAAGAATGATCATTTCAGTAGCAACATTGCACCGAAAGGAAAACCACTTCATTTTTAAAGATTATTTATTTATTTACTTTCTGACAGAGGGGAAGAGAGAGAGAAAGAGATAAAGAGGAACAGCACTGTGTGGTTGCCTCTTGCACACCCCCTGCTGGGGGCCTGGCTAGCAACCCAGGCATGTGCCCTGGCTGGGAATCAAACCAGTGTCCTTTTTAAAAACTGAAAATATTTAGTCAAAGAGAACTTACACTAAAATGAAGTTTGATCTCCATTGCCAATTAAACCATTCCCCAAAACAAACATTGGACTGCAAATTATGCAAAAGTCACGCAGGCATTAACATGTCCAGATGCTGAATTCAATGAGACAGGGGACATCAGTATTAACATCAGTGTGTCCCTCGAACACCGATTCCTGGTTAAACATTTTACACAGTCTAGATGTTCTCTTATCCTGCAAGCGTTTTCTCACATCCAGAGTCTCCAAGGAAAAGAAAGCATCTAGTTTCCTCAGAAAAGAAAACCTTGCTGAATAGCTCTGAGGAGGTTTTTTTCTGGGTTTCCTCAGGTGCTTCGCAGCAATAGCCTGCTCGAGTCTACAGACTACTGGTTGCAGAACCAGAGGACACCCTGCCAGATTGGTTTTGTGGAAGACAAGTCTGAAAACTCCGCTTGCGCCTCCGTAAGTAAACACAGCCCGGGATGTGGTCTGAGAAAACAAGGAATTGAGTGCATGTCCTCAGGCTTAGGACAGAAGTTCCCTAATTCGGTAAATGCGAGGTCACAGAAGCCTCCTTTGGAAAATAAATAACTGGTTAATATGGACTGTGAACCAGAAAACAAGCAAACAAACAAACAAAACCCACGGACCTCATGTTCCTACTCCCATTTTGTTCATTTCAACAGGTTAGTTAATCTGATCAATTATCTGAAAAAGAAAACCATGATATTTTCAAAACGGACTGACAAAAAGATTCAGAATCAGAATTGTAGAATAAGAAATGAAAGACCACGAAGGAGCTCTCTGGGATTCTTTTCAATATATCGTACAGCTTCTGCTAGTAGGTATTCCCCACCATGAAGTTTTAGAACATTTCTCCACCATTTTTTAAAGTTATAGTCATTGTTTGAAAACCTTTTCAACCTAAGAAATACACAGGCATGCATTTTCACATGCTGGAGTCAAGCTTTACACACAAAACCTTCCTTGTCAAAAGAAGGGATGTTGTTATAGATAAATCTAGTTCTTACCGTTTAGAATGTGAGTACCTATGGTTGATGTGAAATATGCTCCTTCCTATATGTTCTACAAGGTTGTTTGTTTCATTTGGATTGAAATCACCCAGCTCTTACAGGGTCATGGTTAGAGACTGGGGGAGATCATTTTCAGAAAGGAGAGAAATGTAATTCTCATGACTAAATTGAGAGCACTAGCTCTGAGCTATTCCTGGAGGGAAGTTGCATGCCAGCACTTCTGGGGTTTTTTTTTTTCTTAAAAAAAAAAGAAGCTGAAAATGGGATGGAGAAGCTTTTTCTATATAATGAACAGAGCCTGAAGAGCTGGCAGACAGAGGATGAAAAACATTTCACACTGCAGAGCCTCGCAGCACAGAGAAAGCTGAGTCTGTTCAACAGACTTATTTCAATCTCTTGGTTTAAACAAATGCTTTTGAATCTGCTACTTTTTGATCCCTTGTCCAGAATACTAGTTAATGGCTAAAAATCTTTGGGGGAAAACAAAAAGAATTAGGCAGAAAGTAATTTAATAGTGATACCTTCTCTGCAAATTGAGTTCTGAGATGAGTTGGAAAATTCAGGCATTAGCTGATACCCATCTCTAATTACACAGCTTTAAATGGTAAAAGGAGGGAAATGGAGAGTGAATGCTGTCAGCAGCTGCCCTGTGGTCAAAGTTGTCTTCTAAACAGCTCCTATATTAAGGAGACTTCCATTTGAAGGAGGCACATATTTGGGGCACTAAAAACTGTCTAGTGAAGGACAAAGAGGTCTCTAAACTTTTTATTTTTGGAATCTGGCTTGCTGATCTACAATTAGAAATACTAAATTTATAGCCAAACTTAAGATTACCATTGAATCTTCCGAGGTGTAAGAAAGCTCTCCGCCCATTCCCCACCAATCTCAATGGACTCAAATTTGGACTTAAAACTGACTTCTTTTCTTAATTCTTTATACCTTTATAATGTCAAATGATATCAGTGAGGTTGAGCTGATTCATCCTGTCTTTGTGGCTCTTCCTATATTTTTCAAAAGGGGAAAAATCAAAACAAATAAAAGGCATACTGGAAGATTTGTTTTCCCACAGTTGTTCACAAAAACTGAAACTGACACCAACATTGAAAAATTGTTCAGGATTCGAAACCTAATTTTCAGGATGCCTTTGAAAAACTAGCTCTAATCTCTCAAAATGTATTCTGTAGTCACTTTCTTAAGTTGCAAGTCCTTTCTCTTTTCTGATTTGGCACAGATTTCTAGGATGGGGAAAAGAAAGAGTCCACAGTTGGACATTGCTGATGGAAAGTTATTATCTAGGGGAGAAATGGAGGTGAACCAACAAGATCTCTGAGCAGGACAGGGAACTCTTGATCCAAATAGCCACTCAGGAACAGCCGAAATAGTCAAGGGAAAAGTACTTAATTCCTTTTCAAAAAAATTGTCCAAAAAACTGTATTTTTACAATAGCATCATCATTATTAAAATTTAATTTTTTAAAATTTAGTTTCATAAAATCATCCCAAATCTAAACCTATTTAAAATGATTTCAACAGAATCGAAGGAGCCTGTAGCAATATTTCTGTTCACGACTCTGGGGTACTCTATTCTATGTGAACTATTTTTTTTAACTCATTTCTTCCTCATCAAACTTAGTAACTTTTTCATATTTATTTTTGGTTGGCTTGGTTCCCATTCTATTGAACTATAAGTATAGTTTATAAAATTGCTGTGTCTTAGAAATACCTCAGTGGACCAAGTTTTCTGAAGTCAAAGTGTCCACTTAAAAATTTTATCAAAGAACAATCTCAGGCTTAGAAACCCTTTGGGTGGTGCGTGCGGGGGTCAATACAGCTGTTTGTTCTCAAGCATCCAACAGTGAATTGTAGGCACTATGTCAGTAGCTCACTGCATTCATTTCACAGCTAGAAGGAGAAGGCATAGGAAGGGCAATCTGAAGCAGTCAGAAATATGACAGGCACCCCAAACAGGAACTACTGGCCAGGAGGGCAGAGCCCCCTGAAAGTCACATTTAAAAGTTTTTCAAAAGGTATCAAATACGAAAACTATGCTTATATTTTTCTCTTGTCAAGCTGTATAATTTTAGTTTTCTTTCTGGTTTTCCATTCAAAAAAAAATTGTATACTAGGCTTCAGGGTGTTTTTTTTAGACCTGATTATTTACTTTGAAGGGTGGGAGCACATGTGGGGGAGAATCATGGACTAGGAAACAAAACTTCCAACCAAGATCTGAGACATTCTGTTGACAGAGGTCCCCAACATGAGTGGTAGCGATTGGACTTTTCAGGACTCTTGACTTTTTTTAAAATTAGAAATGAATTTAGTTCCTTCTTACTCCACTGTTGCTTTTTGCTCTTTACTAGAATTTGATTTTTTATTTTCCAGGAACCATTTTGTTTTAATGCTTTATTAAAATGATCTCAACAATTCACATTATTTTTATCCATAGTTTCTGTCAGACATTTTTTTTTTTTACTGATCAGTTCAAAACTCTTGGCTATCACCCTGCAATAAATTATACCTTCTAGCATGCATTTTAATTGATGAATCACAGTATTTGAAATGTGTTACATTGACCCTGTTTTTATAAACACATAGGTCAAGTTCTCAAGCAGCTTTCAACATTCCACACATGATATTTCAAAACTAAGAAGACATTTGACAGCTGTTCAGTGGGTTTCTGATGCAAATGTGACCCAGTGTAACAGCGACAATATGATATCTCAAGGACTGCTTTTTTTAATATTATTTCTCTAAATGTGTGTGTGTGTGTGTGTGTGTGTATGTGTTTGGAAAATTTTTTAAAAAGTAAGAAAGAGAAGAACACCCAACTTGATAAGTTGGTCTAAGCAAGAATCTAGACTCACCTGACCAGGGAACTATGTCTGTCAGTTATAGACATATATTATAAAACTGTACAGAAACATTTTATATTATCTAGTCCAGCTATTTATCAAGTTTTCAAGCAATTTTTAATGGATTTTTTCTTCAAAAATCAAGTTAGTAAATAATTTTTTTAATTCCTCAAATTTAGACTTAACAGAAAAATTGCAAGAAGAATGCAAAGAATTCTGATTTCCCAAATGCTTATTTTTATATTTGCTTTATCCTTTTGTCTACATATGAATAGGCATCTGTGTGTAAATACACAGTTACAATTTCTTTAAAAAAAGCTTTCGAGAATGAGTTACAGACATGAGGCTTCCCCACATACGTCTGTGTGGAATATAAATATTTAGAACAAGGACTGAACTCAGAGCTGCAGGTACCCTTGTTTCAGGCTACTAATTTGGTACCTATTGCATAATGACATTTAATATGGATTCAGCAATTTTCAAGCAGAAACTGAAACTGCATAAAAGTATAAAACTCCAATGCTCATGGCAAAAGTCAGCCAGACTGAGCAGCCCAAAAGCCCAGTATTTTAGGGGCCTTAGTCACTCTTCAGGAGGCAGTTGATGCAGGGCCAGGTGCACCTTGAGCACATAGCCTCCTGGGCAGGTTAGGGTGAGAAGGCGCTCTCAGCTGCCACCCCTGGTAGATTATTCCTGCCAACTTTACCCACTTTTGCTCTTCAAGAGAGGCGTTCTGGTAAGTTCCATGTCTTCTATCTCAATATATTTCTAGGAGCTTCAGCACCTCCTACCTTAGATCCATCCAGATGGGAACGATTTTGGTAGCTTTGCTTCTTAACCCAGTTTTAGATAAATCAGGTGAAGCAGGAGGGTCTGAGTGCACCAGAGCAGCTCGCCCACTCCCTGCTCCATGCGGCCTCACCTCGCCTGGGCAGGAGCTCCCGAAGCACTTTGGGAAATCCAAGAGTCCTGGAGCATTAGTCAACACTCTTGGACTATTAGTCAACCTTACTAAACTAGACACCAATAAATTAGAATGCTTTACTGGGAAGCACCACGCAGAGGTGAGCGGGGGGGAAGAGTTGCTCATCAGAGGAAGTAGGTGACCCACATCCATGAAGGTCATACGTACGACTTAAAAACAAAGAAAAACAATAAATAAAACTGAGAAGGAGCTTTTTGATAAATAATTTGAGGGACAAAGAATACAATGGTAATTTGGGTATAGCCATAGACTTGGTCCATACACTTGTCAATGTTTTGGACCCTGGAACTATTAAAAAGAAACTTTTTACCAGTGTATGTGGATTGAAAACTGAGTTCAAATTCTGTCTTGTATGTTGTAGGTAAAATGCTACGTAATAAAAATTAAGATCACTGACTTTTTTTTACTGGCTTAAGGAATTACAGTGTATATCTAAGCATTAGGTAAGTGAAATGAGACTTCCAATATTCAGAATATGGAAAGGAATTAAAAGGGAAGTATAGAGGATTGGTTATATGACCATTTAAGCTTGATGCAGCTGCAGAAACCAATTTAAAAATTTTTGCACTTCAGTAAATGGCAGAAAAAAAAT